AAACTTAAAGAGACGCAAATTTATCACTTACAACTATTCACAATAACATGCGGGAACAGCTAACTGGGGATTGCTGAAATCATCTATACCTTTTGTACATTCTTTAATAAATAAAGATATTATCATATTAACATATTTATTATATGCACATGGCTACTGTTAAGTGCTAATGGTATTAGTTTTTCTCTTATTTTATTGCCACCCTGCTTACAATATAGATATACAAATATATGGTCCCATCTATTTGGTATAGAGATAAGTTTGTTTCAAATCTATACCAACTGCCAGGAATTCTGAATTCTACTTTTCTAAAGCAAGTGTTTTCTCCTTTGCACATTGCTGTAAATGCTCTGTTAAATGAATAGATACAATACACATATGTTAATCATGGATTTATTTTAGGCATACAAGAAAGGCCCATAGGGCCCCTGATATTCTACTTCACATTCAATGACATTTGAAAATCCTCACTTTTGATGGGGATTAAATGCAAATTATGCTTACGGTGAGGGAAAACATAAGTGATTGAAATCATTCTTCACTAAATTCAGCTTTTTGGAGGGGAAAGGAATCTAGATGAGTAAAGAAGAAGGAATATTGAGGCTATCACAGCAGGAAAGGGGATGGGGTGGCAGAGGTAAAGACAAATTTCATCTACATTATAGCTTTTCAGCTCTACTGGAGGTCCGTAACTTCCTAATCCTGATTCTCTTCAGAAGATATTACCTGGAAAGTGCTATAAAAATATCTACAATAAATGGTAGAAGTCCCATTAGTTTTTAACTTTGTAAGACATTGTCCATATATTATACATGAAAAATAGATGCATTTAAACAGTTACAGAAAGAAAGTTTTAGTTCTATAATATTTAAAGTACCTAGTATAGTATTAGGAATCTGGTAAGAACCAAATTAAAATGGATGTAAATCACTAACTTCATATATTAATAATTTTTAGCTTTCAGTGTATTACTATATAAGGGAATTCCCTTTTTTGCTCAATCTTTGAATCAAGAGATTATATATGAAATTATCTTAACATATTAATATTTCACCATATTTTAAAGTATCATCCCTTTATTTCATTAACTTCACTAATATCACAAATAGTATCATTCTAGAATAATATATGCTTTTTTTATGCTCAATATGTGTTGAATGGGTATGTCTAATTTAAATCCTTCCCAATTCTGATTTTTTATTTTTCATAGTCTCTCAAAGTTAATAACAACAATAGTAAAAAGGAGCCATGTCTTTTTTTATTTTTTTAATTATTTTGGGTACATACAATAGTTGTACATATAATATTTATGGGATACATGTGATGTTTGGATACCAGCATACAATGTGTAATGATCAAATCAAGGTAACTGGTGTACTATCATCTCAAGCATTTATCATTTCTTTGGTTTATAACATTCTAATTCCACTCTGTTATTTTGAAATATACAATAACTTATTGTTAACTATAGTCATCCTATTGTGCTACTGAATACTAGATCTTATTCATTCTATCTAGCTGTATTTTTGTACAAATTAACAATCCCCACTTTATCCCTGCCTCCCCAACTACCGTTTCCAGCCTCTGGTAACCATAATTCTATTCTCTATCTCTCTGAGTTCAATTTGTTTAATTTTTTTGCTCACACATATGAGTGAGACCATGTGAAATTTGTCTTTCTGTGCCTGGTATATTTTACTTAACATCACGTTCTCCAGTTCCATCCATGTTGTTGCAAACGACAGGATTTCATTCTTTTTTATGCTCAACATCACTAATCATCAGAGAAATGCAAATCAAAACTATAATGAGATATCATCTCACCCCAGTTAAAATGGCTTTTATCCAAAAAACAGGCAATAACGAAAGCTGGTGAGGATGCGGAGATATGAGGTACCCTCCTACATTGTTTGTGGGAATGTAAATTAGTGCCACCATTACAGAGAACAGAAGGAAGTTCCTCAAGAAACTAAAAATAGAACCCAGCAATCCCACTGCTGGGTATGTATCCAAAAGCAATTCCACTGCTGGGTATGCATCCAAAAGAAAGGAAATCAGTATATCATGATATCTGCACTCCCATGTTAATTGCAACACTAGTCACAATAACCAAGATATGGAATCAACCTATCTATGTCAATCAACGGATGAAGCGATGAAGAAAATATAGTATTATGTACACAATGGAATATTAAGAAGCTATGTCTTTAATACACAGTGAGCAGTGTCTGTATATACAGAACTATGGTGTGGTTTGAGGTGTTGAATTTTTCACAGTGAGTCATTTTTCTTATTTCTTGATCTTTTGCAAATTACTAAAAGTCTTTAATACCAAAAGGGCTTTTGTGCATGGAGATAAACACTCACTGCTCTTTGTACTTTAATTC